TTAATTTAGCCACCAACTTCTTTGTTATCAAGGATACTTGTGTTCCTGGGTCAAAGAATAATCGGGTTGTTTCGGACCTGTGCCCACTCACAACCTTTGCCATGACTGTAGGTACGGCAGCACCTCCGTGATTCTCACTCGGATTAGAGACTTCACTTCCACTAATCACGCTGGCTTCCATTTCAGGCTCGAACTCACTTTCTATATCTACCTGAGAGATATCCGTACTAGCCTGGGGTTCCCTTAAATTATTGGGACATAGTGCAGTATGGTGCTTACCTTTGCAACAGACTCGACACTCACTGAGCTGGGTGCCACAGTCTCTCACAAAGTGTTCCCCACAACACTTGAAGCAGAGTCTCAACTCCCTTAGTCTCTGTTGCCTACTGGTCTGTGTTATATACTCCGAGCAACTCGTGCTAGCGTGTTTGCCTTCGCAGAACACGCATATTCTGGCATGAGTGCCTCTAAGGTTCTGCTTAAAGGTTCTTACCTTAGACGCTTCTTTACCATAGTACACTTCAACGTTAGTCGTACGAGCTTTAGACTGATCTCTCGAGATCTTTGAGTGGCTGTCTGGGTTTTTATGTGGTGATGGTGGTGACTCTTCTCTCACACCTATACTCAAATGAGAAACGAGATCTCCCAACCCCTCAATGATTTGTTGTATCGTGAGCCTATTCGTCTGATATTTTAAGTGTAACTCATCCCACGAAAAGTGCCAGCCAGTTTCCTCTGAATCACCTGACTGATGAACCATTCCGACTTACCCTAATCATGTAAATCTTTAAGACTATTCGTCAAACTCATAACTTCGATTCGGAACTTCTCTAGGCTCTGACAGTCATGTCAACAAGCCTCTAGATCCAACGACCGATAAAGTATAGCTACCTTTATCTCCTCAATGTTGCCAAATGTGTCCTTAATTGGTCTTTGGCATGTTGGAAAATGGGTCGTGGTTTGGTAATGCCGGACCAAGTCCAAGGTTTTTAAACCCTTGAGCTGTGAACGTAAATTTGTAATTTGACGGCACTGAACAAATCGCCCTCTGCCATCTATCTGGGCTTTAAACTGATCCCAGAAAGCAATGTACTCTGTTAAGGTTCCGTCAAACATTGGTAAATTCAACTGAGGGAATCTGGGCAACATATTAACAGGCGTGCTGTTGTTCGTGTTCCTTGAAACATTTGCTCCCCTTGCTGTACCGGCCTTCAAAGTCTTTATTAACTGCCTGCAGAGTCTCATCTCTGCTTTACACTCTGCCCTTCGTTCGTCATAGTCTGTCCTTGCTACTTCGACTGTATATTCAGACTCACCTGTAGTTTAGGCCTCTGTCTCATAAAGGATACATGATCTCTCAAAGGCCTCCAGTCTTTGCTCCAAAGGTTTCAGGCAACTCTCTAGTTCCTCCCAGTCTACGTCCTGATCTTGCCTGACCGTACGACACTCCTCACATGCCTTGCTCAGGCGCCCCTTATAGGCTCCCATAGACCTCTTTAATTGACTTAGAGCTGGGACAGTTTGGTACTACATTTTTCACCTACCATAGTTGGGGTTTTATTTTTAAGATCACGGTACTAATTTGTACTTAAATTTTAGCCCACCCCACAGCACGAAGGGTATTAGGTGAGAATGGACGAGTCTCAAGGCTTCTAAACAAGTTTAACAACTCCCTTTATTATATTGACTCTTCTCTGAATCAAAATGTACACTTTTTAGCTCTCAAATCCCAATCTAAATGTGTATCGATGTGAAAGCTTAACCTAGCAATTTCCTGTACAATGTAAGCAAATAAAATTTCAGGACTTAACCTAGTCTCAGGTACAATCACAAATCCCACATTAAAAAGAATCAAAGACAATGAAAATCAAACAATAAAAAGTGCCCGTATACAAATTAAAATCACTTGGTTAACACAAATAAATTCAACAATTCAACTTGTGAAACAGTAAATGAATAATGTATGTAAAAGCTTGGCCTAACTGCCCAGTTTAACCCGTCTAGCATGGATGGTTGGATAAGGTAAATCCTAACCTAACTAGTGTGCTATAACTTAAACCTGACTTTTAGAACCCCCTGTTAAATAATAACTAGGTTAAATCTGTCCTAGCTAAATATAACTGTTGTACATATTGCACAAGCCTAGCCTAACTGTGGCTACCTTGCAAATCCACTGTTAGTAACAACACACAAGTCTCCTACTCTGGATTACTTGTAATCACTGTAAATAATTAAATTCACAAACTTCTCTAGCCTACCTGGCCTGCTGTAAATTACTGCAAAATAACAACTTCTGTGTATAGTCAGCTTGGCCTACTCTGTGTAACTCGGCCTAGGGGTGCTAACTTAACCTAACTCTGTTTAAACTGGTTCCTAACTGTGGCCTAGCTATGATAGCTTAACCTAGCTATTCCACATCACGGTTTTCCCAAGGACCACTTTTTTGTGAAAATTCGTGTGGACTGCCTCCAAGTGAGTCGCCTACCCCGCAAACTCTGTTGACACCGAGCTCTGAGGTGGGTACCTCAGCCTCACAATTGGGTTATAGGACAGATTTTCACAAATGATTGATGTTGCAAGAAACTCGCCTGCATGCACGTATAAAGGACTAACTTACTTGGTGTTGCAGCATATATCCTGATCTTCAACTTCCCTAAGCTTAGCCTTAGCCCCTTTTGGGCTTCCCCTCAGAAAACCACGGCAACCGAGAGCCTTTAAATTTCCTGCAATATTTCAATCGTTATTAGTGTCCTGCCTGCCCCCCAGAAATTCCTATATCCAAGAGGGTATGTATCCCCTAGTATAATAACTATGCAGACATGGACACTAGCTTCCAGACTGCCCTGAGACACTGGTACTTACTGGCATGCACTGCCTGTTTGGGACACCGGATCCACAGATCAAACTCACTCACAATTCTCCCCAGACACTGTGTATGAATGTGTGTGCATGTGTGTGTATGAGTTTGTGTATGTGTGTGTGTGGGGTGTTTATGTGGTGTGTGTGTGTGTGTGTGTGGGGTGTGTGTGTGTGTGTGGGGTGTGTGTGTGGGGTGTGTGTATGAATTTGTATATGTGTGTGTGTGTGTGTGTGTGTGTGTGTATTAATTTGTATAGTGTGTGTGTGTGTGTGTGTGTGTCTCAACAATCAATATTTGCACCAATAACTCATTACAGTTGTGACCGGGTGTGGAAGTGTGAATTGCTCATTACTCTATAATTTGTTCATGATTGTAGCCGTGTATAAACGTAAGTAACCATTCTTACAGTATTCATTACCTTTGTAACTTGTGAGTTCATTACCTTGTACCTAGTTCAGCCATCAAAACTTTGGGGCCCAGTCCCTGGACCCATTACATACCTCTGCAATCTTTGTAACTTGTCATGAGTGTGACTAGACCTACCTGGAGTTCATTGCCTTTGTAAATTGTGAGTTCATTACCTTTGTAAATTGTGAATTCATTACCTCTGTAACTTGCTCAGCTATCAAAACTTTGGAGCCCAGTCCCTGGACCAATTATGTACCTCTGTAATCTTTTTGACTACCGCCCACATGATGGGTATGGGGTGCATAATAAACATATTAAACTAAAAAAAACACTGGCCAGAAATCTACGAGATGAAGTGGAGATCTTGTCTTACTGTATGGGCCTGACGGAGAAGGTCATCTACGGTACATCGAGGTGCCTCTACCAGATTTCCCCAGTCTCAAATGTGAAGACACGTGGGGGGCGCCGTCTGCTGATCACGGCACGTCTTGTCCAGTTGGTGACTGTCTTAAGAAGAATGAGCTGGTCTCTCTTCCAGACCCTCGTCTCTTCGTTCAAACTAGGGCTGCCAGTTCTCCCTAGCTAACTTATCCTAGTGTTTGCCTAAATTATCGTCCTATTACTACCTATGTTAAAGTCTTAGGCCTACATTATTATTATCTACAGTTCCTTAGTAAACCTAATATTAGTGTACTAACAGTAAAACTACCTACTCCTTCCCTGAAGGGTAAATCTATAAATTAAATAAATGCCTACCAACAATCCATGCCAACTAGAGAGAATGCTGTTTGTTTGGGAGGGTTTAAGGGCCACCCAGCTCAGCCGTTCCAATACAGCCATGTCGGATCGGTCCTGTGGAACTTTAGGGACCAAATAAATTTCCACAGTCACTCGTAGTGCCAATTTGTCACGCCATGCTGCCATATGTCAAAATCAGTAAATATTTTTTTCTCCGTTGCTTGTTGGCCAATCATATTGAAACTTTGTCATATTCATTTACATATACACTTCTAAACATACACCAAAAATAAAAGAAATCGGGCGAAAAATAAAGGAGGGGAACGACATTGAAGGACAACCCCCTATAGCTCTCGCTTCACACGTTGAGGGTATACTTTCGATTCCCAGCACGGGTAGAAACACTGGGCGTGTTTCTTTACACCGGTTGTCTATGTTCACCCATCAGTAAAATGGGTACCTGGGTATTAGTCGACCGGTGTGTGTCGCATCCTGGGACAATGACCTAATTTGCCCGAAATGCTCTGCATCACAAGGTGCTTTCTATATAGTAGTATCTCATTGAAGTCAGCTATAGTCTGTATACCTTGTACATGTGCTTGTAGTGTAGTAAATAAAGATATTATTGTTGGTTTGCGTGCAGCCAGCAGCAACAGCCTGGTTGATCAGGCTCTGATCCACCAGGAGGCCTGGTCACAGACCAGGCCGCGGGGGCGTTGACCCCCGGAACTCTCTCCAGGTAAACTCCAGGTAATACAGCTGCTGCCTCTGTATTTAACTGAAGAAGCCTACTGCGTGAGCGAAACGTTCCAATAATAGATACCCAACTTCTCTAGCTTATTCACTTAAAAAGGCCGGTTCATTCATAATTATAACACTCTATCAGATGAAAACAATCAGTTGCGTGACATTGTGTATACTGTACATCGTCTTTACGAAGCACCTATGATCTTGCTAACACAAGCACAATTTTCCATAAATATAAAAGCCAGCATAATTTTGAATAATGTTTATTAGAATAAATCTTAGCGTAATGTGTACATTACATTCCCTCAGTGATACTGAAAATCTTGTGGTTGTCCAGTAGTGAAGTGTTGGAGGTTCCGATGTTCATTATCCCATCGTGTGATGCCTTATATTCAGAAAAAGTGTTGAAAACGAGCACCAAAACTGTTGGACCTGGAGAAAACACAAATTTACTTTAACATTTAAGAGGAGAGAACAGTATAAGTGACTGCTACAACATATAAGCTATGATAAAATAAGTTGATCAGTTATCCTTTGTTTCTTTACAAGTGATATTAAATTCTACGTTAAACAAGTTGGTGTGACTTGTAGCTTGATTGCTAGCACACTCAGCTCAATGATGTCTGGGGAACGAATTCCAGGTACGGGTAGAAACATTAGGACGTGTTTCCATATGACACCTGCTGTCCCTGTTTACCAATCAGTAAAATGGGTACCTGGGTGTTAGTCGACTGGTGTGGGTTGCATCCTAGGAGAAAATTGACCTAATTTTCCCGAAATGCTCCGCATAACAAGCGGCATTCTCTACAGTAGTATGTCACTGATATCTAGGCCTGTATACCTTGTACATGTACTTACCTGGAGTTTACCTGGAGAGGGTTTCGAGAGTCAACGCCCCCGCTGCCCGGTCTGAGACCAGTCCTCATGGTGGATCAGATATTATTATTAATATTAAATGATCTAAGTCGGAGCGAAACATCTTCATAAGTTTCTCCCATCTATGAACACTGAATGACTACGGGTTTAGTGCTTTCCTGTGATTAAAATGAAATTTCTCCTATGTCCGGGTTATTTGTGCATAATAAATGAATGAAAATCTCTCTCAACGACACAAAAACTTCTATTAAAGTCTTACGATTATGGTTAAAAAATAAATTAATAGTAAATTTTTTAATAAATTTTAGTAAAAGTAACACTGATTTTTTTTCTGGTCATGCAAACAGCACTTAAAATTTTTGACATAAACACTTGACATAAGTGTTCAAAACGTTGAATATACATTTCTTTATAAGGCCTATGACAGATTTCTAATTTAATATTTAAGTGGTTATTAGGCACATTATTATTATTACATGTTCAGGGAAGCACTGAACCATTGATGGGCACACAGCACTGGTACGGTAACCACCACTACTGTGTCCAGCACTCACGAAGTAACAACAGTAATAATAATAATAATAACAATTATAATTTTTATTACTACAAGTATATGTACAAGGTATACAGGCCTAGCTGACATCAGTAACATACCACTATATAGAAAGCCGCTTGTTATGCAGAGCATTTCAGGGAAATTAGTTAAATTTTGTCCCAAGATGTTACCCACACCAGTTGACTAATACCCAGGTACCTATTTTACTAATGGGTGAACACTGGACAGCAGGTGTCTTAAGCAAACATGTTCGAATGTTTCCTACCACCACTACCATGGTCATTGTCCAACACTCCGGTAGAATGACAACAGTGACTTACCTGCCACCACTACCACGGCTGTGTTCAGCATTCAAGGAAAAGGATGTGTCCTTGTTGGGTCGGAACTCGTAGCCTATGTTAGCTCCCACGTTCTTCTGGCTGGGAAACCTGATCAACACAATGCATTTTATAACTTGACGCTCTAACTTATTATCATATCATATACAATCTACCATCGATTAAGACGGTAGTTTGGTTCCTAAAAATGCAATGTTAGACGAATATGTGATAAAGGAACTGAAGAACTTGTGGAAAAAGTAGGGTTACATTCCTACGACCCCCTAAAAAGCCAAAAAAAAAAAAAAAAAAAAAAAAAATGGGTCTCCAAATCTCATAAAAATAAAAAAATAATAATGCAATTTTTGTTCATTATTGTTACAATGTATGTTTTTTCCGTTGCTTAAGGCTTAAAAATGCAACAGAAATATTTCTTATCCTAAAGCATAGTTGCTACCGAGAAGCAGAACTCAGATAACTACTAGGCAACTACCTAAAACAGGATCGACAAGGGTGGCTATCACTCATCAGTTAGATTTTTTGAGCATTCCTTCTGTCTCCCAGCAAGGTAATGTGAACCAAAAAAAGAGGAAATATTCTCATTGTCACTTATTCAATCACTGCCTTGCCTGCAGCACGCTAACATCACCGTTCAGATGGCTCCCCTGAACTGCAGCATCCTCACCCCTCCTTCAGAGTGCAGGCACTGTACCTCAAACCTCCAGGATTCAAGTCCAGCTAACTAGTTTCCCCGAATCTCATCATAAATTACTTTGGTCACACCCTGCTGCACATCAAGTCATAAAAAAAACACTTGCTTCCACTCTCAGACCCCTAGCTCTCAAAATCTCTTTTACCCCTTCCCTCCAACCTTGCCTGGAACAGTCCATACCCCTTCCCTCCACCACAGATTTATACAAACTTGGTTATCGTATCTGGCTAATTTCTCACTAAATATTTATACCCTTATTGACTCTCTGAATAATACTTTCGACAACACACACCATCTAATCTCCAGGCTCCGAATTCTCTGCGTAATATGCACGCTACACATTGCCCTCAAATATGACATTTCCACAGCCTCCAACCTTCTCCTCACTGCAACATTTGAAACTAATGCTTCATGCTTATGTAAGTGTTCAATAGATATGATACAGTATGCATAATATAGTTATTAAACTAACAAGACTCATAATATCTACAAAATGCTTGACAGTCAATTTGCTAATGTGAGTCAGATGATTTTTCTTTTATCAGTTAAAAAATCTAGTGAATTAAGATCAACTTTTGCTTGGAGCTTCCTGTGTTGAATCAATTGAACTGTTACTTACCCTTTCTGCCAGTCATGGAAACTTTGCCTTTAATAATAAGTCTATAATATTAACACACACACACACACACACACACACACACACACACACAGGATGAGGGCTACAAAGGGATCTGGACTAGGCTTGCAGCCAACAACTGGCTCCTGGAGAAACTCCACCAAGTGCAAAGTCATGAAGATTGGGGAAGGTTAAAAGAGACCACAGACAGAGTACAAGCTAGAGGGCCAAAGACTGCAAACCTCACTCAAGGAAAAGGATCTTGGGGTGAATATAATACCGAGCACATCTCCTGAGGTGTGCATCAACCAGATAACTGCTGCAGCATCTGGGCACCTGGCAAACTTAAGAATAACATATTGACACCTGAGTAAGGAATCACTCATGCTCTGTACACCGTGTATGTCAGGCTCATATTGGAGTATGCAGCACAAGTATGGAACCCACACCTGGTCAAGCATGCCATGAAATCAGAAAAAGTGCAAAGGTTAGCATCAAGACTAGTCCCGGAGCTAAGGGGTATGTCCAACGAGGAGAGGTTAAAAACCAACCTGATGACACTAGAGGACAGGAGTGATAGGGAGAACATGATAATGACATACAGAATACTGAGAGGAACTGAAAGAGTGGATAGGGACAGGATGTCTCAGAGATGGAGACACAGCAACAAGGGGACACAGTTGGAAGTTGAAAACTCAGATGACTCACAGGAATGTTAGGAAGTATTTCTTCAGCCATAGAGTTGTCAGGAAGTGGAACAATCTGGAGAATGATGTAGAGGAGGCAGGATCTATACATAGTTTTCAGAAGACATACGACAAAGCTCATGGAGAAGAGAGAGAGTGGACCTAGTAGCGGCCAGTGAAGAGGTGGGGACCATGATCTCTGACTCGACTCCTGCAACCACAATAGGTGAGCACAAATAGGTGAGTACACACACAAAAAAATACTTAGCAACAATGTAATTAATAATATATTCTTTAAGTAGAGCTAATACCATAAGGGTCATACAGCTAGTAGAGAATGGGCAGTATGTGGGTACTGAGGTTTGATGGGAGGAAGGTTACTTAAGTTATAATATCACGTGAACAAAGATCCACATTATGTGACACTTTCCTGGCAAACAGAATACAGTCATTTAGATGACTTACCCGGGAATTCTGGCTCGTTCATAATTGATGCCAGCGTTTAGTGTGTGTCGGTTGATGCTGTGTTCAAGGTTCAGATTAGCGCTCTCCTTCCTGATGCTGCAAAACAGAAAACAAACTTTTTTAAGACATTTAATGTACAGACTAAGATCCGATACCCTACCTCAGTTTTCTTCAATGTTCAACCCTATACATCTTACATACTCTTCCGACCTTTTCTACAATACCATCTACAACAGTCAGATAAGAACCAGGTACCTATTCACTGTTAGGTGAACAGGGGCACCAGGTGTAAACAGACTTCCTAATACGTATCACCCTACCGAGGATGGTTTCACAACAGCTGACTAGATGGTAAATATGGACTGCTTCTATTAGTAAACTTGCTCACTCTGCCCAGGAAGCAACCAACAATAATCAACTAAAACCAAGGTATCAATTAAATGCTAAGTGAACATGTGTAGCGAGTGTCTGGAGCACTGCCCTTATGTCTCGTCCAGCACAGGATGTGACCAGAAACAGGCGAGTAAACACTAGGTACCTATTTAATGTTACATAAACATGGGCAGCAAATATCAGGAAGACATAGGTAAGTCTCGCCCTGCACATGATTATTACCTATAATAGTTGACTTACATCAAGGTACTTTTTTTACTTATAAGTTAATAAAGGCAGCAAGTATGAAGAGATTTGCACCTTCGACCAGCCAAACCAAAGAATCGAATCTGAAGTCCCTTTATTTTTTTAGCAGAGTATTCTAAAAATGGCTGAAATCCCTTGACCTGTACTCCTTGGAATGCAGGCGAGAAAGATACATATAATACATACTTGGAAAATCCTAGAGGGACTAGTTCCAAATCTGCTCACGGAAATCACTCCTTATGAAAGGAAAAGACTCGGCAGGCGGTGTAAAATGATCCCCACAGTGAAAAGCAGGGGCGCCATGCGTACACTAAGAGACAACACAATAAGTGTTAGGGGCCAAGACTGTTCAAATGCCTCCCAGCATACATAAGGGGGATTACGAATAGACCCTTGGCTGTCTTCAAGAGGGAACTGGACACACATTTAAATTCAGTACCTGACCAGGCTGTTACTGCTGGCCTCACATTGGTTTACGTGAGGCCAGCAGTAACAGCCTGTTTGATCAGGCCCTGATCCACTGCGAGGTCTGGACATGGACCGGGTCGCGGAAGCGTTGACCCCTCCAGGTTTACTCCAGGTATCCAACTTCATATCATTGCTTCGAGTTCTTTCGTGGATAGATATCCTCAGCACTTTCTTTTTGTCTCTCTTATTAATACCCGTCTTCCATTAATATACCTAACATATATCTTCCTTTCTTTCAGAAGAGTGTAATAGACAATAAAACACTGCAGTAGATTTGACCCAAACTATTCAGATCTTTTATCACATACAAATAGCAGAGCTATGCATTTTGCCTACTGATCCGTGTTAGGAAGGATCTGCTCTTACTGGGGTGAAAATGCACTTACTCATGGGGAAGATGCTCGACATTGACTCCTGCTGATACTGAAGTCTGTCGCTTGCTTCGATCGTGACTCAACTCGTTTTCTTCTGAGTAAACGGAGATATCGGGCTCATCATATTGTACCCATGGATAAGGGTGTAGCTCTTGTGTTGTGTGGTGGAGTGGGGTAACTGTCACTACAAGTAACAGTACCATGCTGACTAGGACAGTTGTCTGCATATTGGTGAAGGTTGAAGAGTGGTAGCAAGTGTTGGAGAATGTTAAGTAGATTAAAGAGTTTGGGACACTGGTGGGGTGATAGCTGTGCTGGAGAGGACAGTGGTGGAGACACTGGCGCGGTGACTGCTAGAGAGGACAATGATTGAAACACCAGTGCAGCTACGGTTTATATGTTCCAGGACAATCACTGGGAAACTCCCAAACTCACCGGCTTCAAACTGTTGCTCGTGAAATCGGATGGCGTCCTTGACGTGTCCTGACGTAATGACTTGCTTCGAGGTTTTCATCAATATTTTCCTAATGTCTCAGAACGTTTCTTCTTCATTACTGTCATTTTTCATTCACAGTTGATTTTATATAACAGAAACTGTCATCCTCAGCTAAATACAAAACTCGGGGATAAATATGGTATACACGTATCTTAAAGGATGCTACCCACAACAGTGAGCTGACATCCAGGTACCAATTTACTGCTGCATGAACAGAGTAAGTGTAGGGAAACTTGCCCATACGTCTCGTCTCAGCTAAGACTGGAGCCTGGGTCCTCTTGGTGGTAGACTGGAGCCTGGGTCCTCTTGGTGGTAAGACTGGAGCCTGGGTCTTCTTGGTGGTAAGACTGGAGCCTGGGTCTTCTTGGTGGTAAGACTGGAGCCTGGGTCTTCTTGGTGGTAGACTGGAGCCTGGGTCCTCTTGGTGGTAGACTGGAGCCTGGGTCCTATTTGTGGTAGACTGGCGCCTGGTTACTCTTGGTGGTAGACTGGAGCCTGGGTCTTCTTGGTGGTAAGACTGGAGCCTGCGTCTTCTTGGCGGTAAGACTGGAGACTGGGTCCTCTTGGTGGTAAGACTGGAGCCTGGGTACTCTTGGTGGTAGACTGGAGCCTGGGTCCTCTTGGTGGTAGACTGCAGCCTGGGTCCTCTTGGTGGTAAGACTGGAGCCTGGGTCTTCTTGGTGGCAAGACTGGAGCCTGGGTCTTCTTGGTGGTAAGACTGGAGCCTGGGTCTTTTTGGTGGTAAGACTGGAGCCTGGGTCTTGTTGGTGGTAAGACTGGAGCCTGCGTCTTCTTGGCGGAAAGACTGGAGACTGGGTCCTCTTGGTGGTAAGACTGGAGCCTGGGTACTCTTGGTGGTAGACTGGAGCCTGGGTCCTCTTGGTGGTAGACAGGAGCCTGGGTCCTCTTGGGGGGTAGACTGGAGCTGGGTTTCTTTGGGGGTAAGACTGGAGCCTGGGTCTTCTTGGTGGTAAGACTGGAGCCTGGGTCTTTTTGGTGGTAAGACTGGAGCCTGGGTCGTCTTGGTGGTAAGGGTGGAGCTGGGTCTTCTTGGTGGTAAGACTGGAGCCTGGGTCTTCTTGGTGGTAAGACTGGAGCCTGGGTCTTCTTGGTGGTAAGACTGGAGCCTGGGTCTTCTTGGTGGTAAGACTGGAGCTTGGGTCCTCTTGGTGGTAGACTGGAGCCTGGGTCCTCTTGGTTGTAAGACTAGAGCCTGGGTCCTCTTGGTGGTAGACTAGAGCCTCGGTCTTCTGGTGGTAAGACTGGAGCCTGGGTCTTCTTGGTGGTAAGACTGGAGCCTGGGTCTTCATGGTGGTAAGACTGGAGCCTGGGTCTTCTTGGTGGTAGACTGGAGCCTGGGTCCTCTTGGTGGTAGACTGGAGCCTGGGTCCTCTTGGTGGTAGACAGGAGCCTGGGTCTTCTTGGTGGTAACACTGGAGCCTGGGTCCTCTTGGTGGTAAGACTGGAGCCTGGGTCTTCTTGGTGGTAAGACTGGAGCCTGGGTCTTCTTGGTGGTAAGACTGGAGCCTGGGTCTTTTTGGTGGTAAGACTGGAGCCTGGGTCGTCTTGGTGGTAAGACTGGAGCCTGGGTCTTCTTGGTGGTAAGACTGGAGCCTGGGTCTTCTTGGTGGTAAGACTGGAGCCTGGGTCTTCTTGGTGGTAAGACTGGAGCCTGGGTCTTCTTGGTGGTAAGACTGGAGCCTGGGTCCTCTTGGAAGTAGACTGGAGCCTGGGTCCTCTTGGTGGTAAGACTAGAGCCAGGGTCCTCTCGGTGGTAAGACTGGAGCCTGGGTCCTCTTGGTGGTAGACTGGAGCCTGGGTGTTCTTGGTGGTAAGACTGGAGCCTGGGTCTTCTTGGTGGTAAGACTGGAGCCTGGGTTCTCTTGGTGGTAAGACTGGAGCCTGGGTCCTCTTGGTGGTAGACTGGAACCTGGGTCTTCTTGGTGGTAAGACTGGAGCCTGGGTCTTCTTGGTGGTAAGACTGGAGCCTGGGTCTTCTTGGTGGTAGAGTGGAGCCTGGGTCCTCTTCGTGGTAGACTGGAGCCTGGGTCTTCTTGGTGGTAGACTGGAGCCTGTGTCCTCTTGGTGGTAGACTGGGCCGGGCTTCTTGGTAAAACTGGAGCCTGGGTCTTCTTGGTGGTAAGACTGGAGCTGGTCTCTTGGTGTAAGCTGGAGCCTGGTCTTCTTGGTGGTAAGACTGGAGCCTGGGTCTTCTTTGGGGGTAAGACTGGAGCCTGGGTCTTCTTTGGTTTGGGAAGACTGGAGCTGGTCTTCTTGGTGGTTTAAGACTGGAGCCTGGGTCTTCTTGGTGGGAAGATGGAGCCCGGGTCTTCTTGGTGTAAGGACTGGAGCCTGGGTCTTCTTGGTGGTAAGAAATGGAGCCTGGGTCTTCTTGGTGGTAAGACTGGAGCCTGGGGGTTTTTTGGTGGTAAGACTGGAGCCTGGGTCTTCTTGGTGGTAAGATGGAGCTGGGTCTTTTTGGTGGTAAGACTGGAGCCTGGGTCTCTTGGTGGTAAGACTGGAGCCTGGGTCTTCTTGGTGGTAAGACTGGAGCCTGGGTCTTCTTGGTGGTAAGACTGGAGCCTGGGTCTTCTTGGTGGTAAGACTGGAGCCTGGGTCTTCTTGGTGGTAAAAACTGGGCCTGGGTTCTTTGGAAGTAGACTGGAGCCTGGGTCCTCTTGGTGGTAAGACTAGAGCCGGGTCTTCGGGGGGTAAACTGGAGCCTGGGTCCTCTTGGTGGTAGACTGGAGCCTGGGTGTTCTTGGTGGTAAGACTGGAGCCTGGGTCTTCTTGGTGGTAAGACTGGAGCCTGGGTTCTCTTGGTGGTAAGACTGGAGCCTGGGTCCTCTTGGTGGTAGACTGGAACCTGGGTCTTCTTGGTGGTAAGACTGGAGCCTGGGTCTTCTTGGTGGTAAGACTGGAGCCTGGGTCTTCTTGGTGGTAGAGTGGAGCCTGGGTCCTCTTCGTGGTAGACTGGAGCCTGGGTCTTCTTGGTGGTAGACTGGAGCCTGTGTCCTCTTGGTGGTAGACTGGAGCCTGGGTCTTCTTGGTGGTAAGGATGGAGCCTGGGCTTCTTGGTGGTAAGACTGGAGCCTGGGTCCTCTTGGTGGTAAGACTGGAGCCTGGATCTTCTTGGTGGTAAGACTGGAGCCTGGGTCTTCTTGGTGGTAAGACTGGAGCCTGGGTCTTCTTGGTGGTAAGACTGGAGCCTGGGTCTTCTTGGTGGTAAGACTGGAGCCTGGGTCTTCTTGGTGGGAAGACTGGAGCCTGGGTCTTCTTGGTAGGAAAGATGGAGCCTGGGTTTCTTGGTGGTAAGACTGGAGCCCCGGGTCTTCTTGGTGGTAAGACTGGAGCCTGGGTCTTTTGGTGGTAAGACTGGAGCCTGGGTTTTTCTTGTGGTAAGACTGGAGCCTGGGTTTCTTGGGGTAATCTGGAGCTGGGTCTTTTTGGTGGGGAAGGGCTGGAGCCTGGGTCTTTTTCGGGTTTTAAGACTGGAGCCCGGGTCGTCTTGGTGGTTTAAAACTGGAGCCTGGGGCTTCTTTGTGGAAAGACTGGAGGCTGAGTCGTCTTGGTGGTAAGACTGGAGCCTGGGTCGTCGTGGTGGTAAGACTGGAGCCTGGGTCGTCTTGGTGGTAAGACTGGAGCCTGGGTCGTCTTGGTGGTAAGACTGGAGCCTGGGTCTTCTTGGTGGTAAGACTGGAGCCAGGGTCTTCTTGGTGGTAAGACTGGAGCCTGGGTCGTCTTGGTGGTAAGACTGGAGCCTGGGTCGTCTTGGTGGTAAGACTGGAGCCTGGGTCGTCTTGGTTTTAAGATGGAGCCTGAGTCGTCTTGGTGGTAAGACTGGAGCCTGGGTCGTCTTGGTGGTAAGACTGGAGCCTGGGTCGTCTTGGTGGTAAGACTGGAGCCTGGGTCTTCTTGGTCTTAAGACTAGAGCCTGGGTCGTCTTGGTGGTAAGACTGGAGCCAGGGACGTCTTGGTGGTAAGACTGGAGCCTGGGTCGTCTTGGTGGTAAGACTGGAGCCTGGGTTTTTCTTGGTGGTAAGACTGGAGCCTGGGTCTTCTTGGTGGTAAGACTGGAGCCTGGGTCGTCTTGGTGGTAAGACTGGAGCCTGGGTCTTCTTGGTGGTAAGACTGGAGCCTGGGTCTTCTTGGTGGTAAAACAGGAGCCTGGGTCCTCTTGGTGGTAAGACTGGAGCCTGGGTCTTCTTGGTGGTAAGACTGGAAACCTGGGTCTTTTTGGTGGTAAGACTGGAGCCTGGGTCTTCTTGGTGGTAAGACTGGAGCCTGCGTCTTCTTGGCGGTAAGACTGGAGACTGGGTCCTCTTGGTGGTAAGACTGGAGCCTGGGTCTTCCTGGTGGTAGACAGGAGCCTGGGTCCTCTTGGTGGTAAGACTGGAGCTGGGTTTTTCTTGTTTGGTAAGACTGGAGCCTGGGTCTTCTTGGTGGTAAGACTGGAGCCTGGGTCTTCTTGGTGGTAAGACTGGAGCCTGGGTCTTCTTGGTGGTAAGACTGGAGCCTGGGTCTTCTTGGTGGTAAGACTGGGGGCCTGGGTCTCTTGGTGGTAAGATGGGAGCCTGGGTCTTCTTGGTGGGAAAACTGGAGCCTGGGTTTCTTGGTGGTAAGACTGGAGCTTGGGTCCTCTTGGTGGTAGACTGGAGCCTGGGTCCTCTTGGTTGTAAGACTAGAGCCTGGGTCCTCTTGGTGGTAGACTGGAGCCTCGGTCTTCTTGGTGGTAAGACTGGAGCCTGTTTCTTCTTGGTGGTAAGACTGGAGCCTGGGTCTTCTTGGTGGTAAGACTGGAGCCTGGGTCTTCTTGGTGGTAGACTGGAGCCTGGGTCCTCTTGGTGGTAGACTGGAGCCTGGGTCCTCTTGGT